CCAGTCAGAGAAGGCTGCCTGGAGGAGGGCACACCTGAGCAGAGCATGGGAGATTGAATAGGAACCAGCCAGATAAAGAATGGGGAACGGCCCTAGCTGGTTTTGCTCAATGATTAGAGCGTCAGCCCAAAGACTGAAGGGTCTCGGGTTTGATTTTGATGAAGGGCACATACCTCGGTTGCAGGCTCGATCCCTGGCCCTGGTTGGGGAGCGTGCGGGAGGCAACCAATCAGTGTGTTTCTCTCACATGGATGTTTCTCTTTCTGTCTCTACCCCTCCCTTCCACTTTCTAAAGATCAATGGAAAACATATCCTCTGGTGAGGATTAATAAGAAAATAGAAGGGGGAACAGCAGTTGCTAGTCGTGTAAAAGAGAAGGCTGCAGTGTCCGTGGGGCTTCTGAGCGGGGAACGGTGGTCATTTCTCAGGCTGGGCGGCCCTGTGGGCTCTCAGCCCTGCTCAGCCAGCCCTGGGCCAGGCCCTCAGTGGGCGGAGGTTAAGGCTATGAGTAAATGGCAGGGCTGTGGCCTGCTCCACCCACCCTCCGTTTTCCTTCCCCTTTCCTCCTTCCCTCCCATTCCTCCCACCCACTCAGCCTCAGCCACGCCTCCACCAAGAATCCCAGAGGTGAAGCCTGCTGAGGTATCAGCTCTGAGGGACCCCGAATTGTCCTCTAAGACATCCGCCTCCACGGGTGAAACAAGGCTCTCAGGCCCCAAGTGGCCCCTTTGGGCTTTGTGGTTTTATGCTAAACCGACCCTCTTTGCATCTGTTTGCATTTTTAGCAACCATCAGTCTCTGAGCAACAGCTCCTGTGATTTCTTGGAAGGTCAGAGGAGCGTGGAAAGCATGACATTTACTGTCACATGTGCCTTTGGTTTGTGCCCTAGGACCACTAGATCTATTTTTCTCTCCTCCATAGTTAAAACTTCCTGCAGTTGGAATGACCTGCCTCCCAGAGGGTGTAGGAATTCAATAGAAGCCAGGCCTCTTCAGCAGTGATTATCAGCCACCCAGTGCATCCATCTACCCACTCATCTATCCACCCACTCACCCATCCACCATCCATCATCCATCCATCCATCCATCCATCCATCCATCCATCCATCCACCTATCCATCTATCCACCTATCCATCCATCCACCCACCCATCCATCCCCCCATCCATCCACCCACCTATCCATCCATCAACCCATCTACCTTCTACCCACCCATCCATCTATCTGCCTAGATAACTACCTACCCATTTACCCACACATCCATCCACCCATCTACCCACCCACTCACCCATCTACTCTCCCATCTATCCATGCACACACCCATCCACCCACCTGTCCATCCATTGACCCATCTATCCATCTACCCACCCTTCTATCTATCTACCCAGATACCTACCTACCCATCTACCCACACACGCATCCACCCATCTATCCACCCATCCATCCATCCACCAACCCATCCATCCACCCACCCATCTATCCATCTACCCACCCATCCATCTATCTACCCAGATACCTACCCACCCATCTCCCCATCCATCCATCCATCCATCCACCCATTCATCTGTTCATCTAGCAGTAGTTCTCAACCTTCCTAATGCCACGACCCTTTAATACAGTTCCTCATGTTGTGGTGACCCCCAACCATAAAATTATCTTCATTGCTACTTCATAACTGTAATGTTGCTACTGTTATGAATCGTAATGTAAATATCTGATATGCAGAATGTATGTTCAGGGGTCGTGACCCACAGGTTGAGAACCACTGATAGCAGCTACTCAATGAGCCCTTACTGTGTGCTTAGGGCCCCTGCCAGGCACTTGGGTTGCAGTGCAAGCAAGACTGGTGAGACTCATAGTCTCATGAAAATGAATGAATGCCTTTTTCTGTTCTGTCACATCTAGTGGATGTTGAGAAGACAGGGAGAAGGCTGGTGGGATAGGACGGTCGGGCAAGACAGGGCTCAGATGACCAAGGGAGTCGCTGAGCACAGAGAATCTTCTCGTTACTTTTTTTCTGTTTTCCAAATTTTCCACAGTGAGCATATGTTGCTCATCTTCCTGGGAACAAATCATTTACAAATTCTGTGAAAGGATTGATCCCCAAACCCACGGGGCTGTTACCGAGTCTTAGAGACAAAGGATGGTGTGAGGCCGGGAGGCTCTGTGGGTGGTCTCAGCACTGGCTCACTCTCTGGCAGTGACCAGCCCGCCCTGGCCACCAGGACTCCTAAATGGGGCTCCAAGCCAGGCACAGGGGCTGAGCAGGGACAGGACAGGGACATCCTTGGCCCAACTACTCTCTCCTTATGGACCTGCACCCCCACCCCCATCCTGCCATGGCCTCCTGGGTCCTTCTTCCTGTTCCTGAAGCTTATGGGGTTCCGGTGGAAAAGGTGATATCCTTCAGGCAGGAACACTGGTCTGTTATGGGCGACAGTGTGTTCCTGAGAAAAACGAAAGTACGCATAAATACAGAAAGGCCTTAAATGCTGTATAGTTTCTGACCCAAGGCTGCCTCAATCCCCTGCAGCCTGCCCTCTTTCAGACTTAAGTAGCCAGAGACCCTCACCCCACTTCTGGCCCTGTGAGGGGATTTCGAAGGAATCCGTGGTGTGTTTGCTGGAATAAAGATTAAACAGGACAAACTAGCCAGGCTGCTACACTTGCCCCTCCCAGCAGCAGCCCCCCCCCCCGCCCCCAGCAGCGTCAGACCCTGCCCATGGGGGCCAGGGGACAAATGTCACACCATGCGGCACACACCAGGAGGTGGCATGGCTGGCATGGGTGCCTCCCTGCATCCGTGTTCCTAGGCCTATAGCCAGGTGGGAGGTCGCAGCACCCAGGCCAGGCCTCAACAGCTATTAACCTCCTGTTCTGAGATGACTTGGGGATCCCCAGCTTAGGCAGGGGCTCCCACCCTTCAAGTCTGCCAGCTGTCACCCCCATCTGGAAGTATCTGGGCCCAAGGACGAGGAATAAACACTGTATTTCCCCGGCTTCACCCTCACGTCCTAGCTGGGCGGTGGTGCCCAGGGTGCTCCATCGCCAAAGCCCCCGCGCACAGGTAAAGAGGGCGCCGACAGTCCCTGCCCTGGGTCCTCACGGAGCTCAGCGGTGCCTGGACACAGGCGCCCTCGGGGAGTCCCCAGTCTTGAGCACTTCAGTTGCTAGAACCTCAGAGGAGAAGTGGCACAGGATGCAGTAAAACCAGCGGTTTGGGGGCTGGATTTCGGTCCCGGTTCTGCCTCTGATTGGCTGGAGACCTGGGGCAAGTGGTGTAACCTCTCTGGCTCGGGAAAGTGAAGGCACTGGGCTGGATTTGGGGTTTTCCACGTGTCTGGGCAGTTCTGTGTTCTGCAGAAGGAGCGGTGGAGCTGGGCTCTGCCTTCTCGTGTTCCACGGTTCATAGTAGCACACGGTTCTGCGTTCAACAAAAAGCCCGCAAGCTGGGCTCCGGAGTCTGTGACGTGTGGGACCTTCGTGTTCCGCCTGCTGTCGTTTGGCAAAGGACAAGTGACGGGGTCCCATTTTCTCTGCAGCGAGCCTATCTATTGGGTGTGAGAGGTCAGGTAGATCAGGCTGGGAAGATGAGAAGTGGAGAGGTCCTTAGGCTGATGGGACCCCAGCCCCCTGTGAGCCCCTCCCTGCAGCTCCCACCATCCTGCCACCATGGGATGGACAGGAGACCCAGGTAGCTGCGGGGCACCTGGCTGGAGCCAGCTCAGACTCCAAACCGCTCCCAGAAGCAGCCGCATGGACTCATCCACCACGTCCACGCTCCACGCTGGCTGACAGCTGGCCATGCTCTTAATAGGGGCAGTGAGTTTACCCCTCAACAGGCAACATTTTCTCCCCAAAGGGAACAACCAGCTCCAAACCTCACTGTGGTTGGCATCACCTGCCACCTAGTGGCCCTCGGTGGCACTGCATGGCCTCTGGTCAAAGGGAAGTGGCCTGGAGGGTCTCCTGGGCTGTGAAAAGAAACAGGACATGAGCAAAAGGAGTGGCTGCAGGATTGGGGGTCCTTCCCCTTCTCCTGCGAGGGTGAGAACCCCAGAGCAGCTCCCTTAGGTCACCTCCCCTCTGTGCATCGCTCATTACTAAGCACTGTACGCACTAGTGTATCATCTCATTTACTTCTCACGTGGATATTATGGGATGTGCAGACGAGGAAACAGGTGTAGAGAGGACACTAACTCACCTGAGATCACAGGGCAGAGACCTGGATCCTGCTCTGCCTCGAGATCTGTGTTCTCCATCGGCCCACGGCACTCAGGTCCCAGCCAGGGAGACGCGATCACGGATGGGAAACAGGACCTTCGTGGCGCGCCAACTAGAGGACAGGGACTCCCGGGCAGCAGGGCTGGAGGCACCAGGACAGGCCTCCGGTCACGCCGGACTTCCTGCTTCCCTGAGAAAGGAGACCATGAGTGGCTCATGGCCCTTCTCGGACAAGGGACACCAGGTCAAGTTCTACACAGGCCTTGGCACACTTTTTTTTAATGTCTCTTTCCTGCCATGACAGGGTGTGTGATCCTGTGGCCATAAACCCCTTTGTTACAACCTCCACCAAACCCAGCCAGGGCGTGGCCATCTCTCATGTTGGCTGTAGAGTTTGTAGGTAAATGTAGCTTCATCCGGTGGAAGTTAGGGATGCTCTAAGCTGCAAATAACTCACCATGCACCTAATAATGGTTTAAATCGGAGTGAAGGGCTGGATGTCTCTTGCACCAAGAAGTGGAGTATGCAACTGATCATGATGGCGGTTTTCAGCCTTGCCATCAGGAAAGCGTGGGCCCAGCTCTGTCCCTTGTTCTTAAGGTGTGAGCCTTTGTCTATGTGCCTCTCACTTCTGGTCACAAAACAGCTGCTATGCCTCGGGGCTTACGTCTGTGTTCCAGGCCGGAAGAAGGAAATGGGCAACACCCAAAGGGACATATCAACTGAGACTCCTCCTTTTTTATATCTTATATAATAAAAGGCTAATATGCAAATCAACCGAACAGCAGAACCACCGATTACTATGACACGCACTGACCACCAGGGGGCAGACACTCAATGAAGGAGCAACCCCCTGGTGGTCAGCCCACTCCCACAGGGGGAGCACCGCTCAGCCAGAAGCCCTGAGCCGGGCTCACAGCTGTCAAGTGCAGCAGCAGTGCCAGCGCTAAGGATGTCTGACTGCTGTCTTAGGCCCACTCCCCCAGGCCTAAGCCATTGGCTGGACATTCCCTGAGGGCTCCCGGACTGTGAGAGAGCTCAGACCAGGCTGAGAGACACCCCTGAGTTCACGAATTTCATGCACCAAGCCTCTAGTGTGTGTGTGTGTGTGTGTGTGTGTATTAATAGAAGCTACTTTTCTTTCCTTTGAATTGAATTTATTGGGGTGACATTGGTTAATAAAATTATATAGGCTTCAGGTGTACAAGTCTCTAATACATCATCTGTGTTGTGTGCTCACCAACCCAGAGTCTGCCCCACCCAGGGACTTCCACTTACATCTAAATAGCCAGAACGGGGTCTCCTGCCCTCTACACTGAGTTGCAAGGGAATCAGGGCAGTAAGCATTTTCTACTGATTGTTACTTCCCTCAAAAAGGTAAAGGTCAGTTAGTAAGGAAGAACAAGAAGATGGAGTTTGGGTGGGTCACTAGGAGAGTCAGCCTCACGTCAAAAATCATTGTCCCGATACCTAAAGGGCTGGGGGAGAGGCCAGGTAAGTGGGAGGGAACCTCATGAAAGTCCTCCTCCCTCTCTAAAGTGAGGGGCTCCCTTTGTGGGTGGGCCCAGGCGGCCCTAGTCAACTGGCACACCTTTGTCTCCGCAGGTTCCTACTATCTGACCACCACCTACGGGGCGCTGGAGCACATCAAGAACTACGACAAGATCACGGTGACCAGGCAGCTGAGCGTGGAGGTGCAGGACTCCATCCACCGCTGGGAGCGCCGGCGCACGCTCAACAAGGCCCGCGCCTCCCGCTCCTCCGTGCAGGTGACTCCCGGGACAGTGGATGGGAGGAGACCAGGTCAACAGACCATCTCCACTGCCGGGGGGTGGAGGGGAGACCAGGACCCACACACCATCCCTACTGCCATGGGAGGAGACTGTACCCACACACCATCCCCATTGCCATGGGAGGAGGCTGTACCCACACACCATCCCCACTGCCATGGGGAGACCAGGCCACACACCATCCCCACTGCCATGGGGGGAGACTGTAACCATACACCATCCCCACTGTCATGGGAGGAGACTGTACCCACACACCATCCCCACTGACATGGGGAGACCATACCCACACACCATCCCCACTGCCACGGGAGGAGGCTGTACCCACACACCATCCTCACTGCCATGGGGAGACCAGGCCACACACCATCCCCATTGCCATGCGGAGACCAGGCCACATACCATCCCCACCGCCATGGGGAGACCAGGCCCACACACCATCCCCACCGCCATGGGGAGACCATACCACACACCATCCCCACTGCCATGGGGGGAGTGAGCTGGACTTCCCATCCGGGAAGAAAGGGTGATCCCATGACGCTCTTGACACAGGGCCTGGCACCTGGTATGCACCCCTGTCACCGTCCTTCCACAAGGGACAGTCCCGCACATACCCCTTCCCACCTGCCCCCTGGGTGCTTGGGAAAGAGGCCTCCCTCACAGCCATGGTGTAAACTGTAAAGGGCTGGTGTTTTCCCACTTTACAGTTGAGGAAATGGAGGCTCCGAGAGGTCAGGGTCACACAGTGAGTGGGAGCAGGGACTGGAGGGCCCATCCTTCCACCATAGGATCCTCCCTCCCAGGCTGGTGGGGGAAGGTGTAGGTGCCATTGGTGTGTGTGTGTGTGTGTGTGTGTGTGTGTGTGTGTGTGTCCATGCGCCTATGCATGCTCCCATCCCCAGCCACATGCAGACGCATCGCCTCGCCCTGCCCTGCCCCTCTCCACCTGGCCTAAACCCTCCACCTTTCAGGCCCAGCTCCCCTCCCCCTATCACGGAGCCTCTTCCTTCCCTCCAGTCCCCCCCACGCCCACCCCCCATCTCCAGCTTGTCCCACCCCAGGCTCTTCCAGCCCTAAGGGCTGAACTGTTCCGCCTGCCTTAGCAGTCCCAGCTGAACCCTGAGCTGCTGGGCTGGGATCTGCCTCCAGTTTTATGTATGCCGCCCTCCCTGCCCTGCATTGCCCCTGGGGTGCAGGAGGACTGCTGACATGATGAGGAAGTGACAGATGAATACATACATGATGGCGAGCCGTGTGCTGGCCGCCAGGGGGCGTGCTCCCTCCTCGGTGCCAAGACCAAAACACTGACTTACCCTGCAGGGTCATCCCCGCGGAGAGGCGGGGTGCAGAGGGCCTTGCCTTAGGTGGCACAGCAGGGTCGCCACGGGTACCCTGACTTCGGCCTCACGACCGTCCTACCATCCCTTCTCTCTACGGAGAGGAGTCTGGGGCCCAGAGAGGGAAAAGGTCTCGCCCAAGGCCACTCAGCGTGGGGAGGGGGGTAGGGGGGAGACAGGATGCTCGTGGCCGGCTGGTGACCAAGCCCCCTCCGTCTCACCCCGCAGGACTTCATCTGCGTGTCGTACCTGGAGCC